TCGGTCACACCATCAGTAGTGCACCTGATCGCCCTCCATTTGATCCAATAAGTGTGTCTCGGCGAACGTCGTTCATTTATGGGCTACCTGACCGAAGCCAAATCACCAAAACACGAACTTCGCCGGAGAGTCGCCGTACCCGAGAGCGCCGCCGCCGGTAAGCTCCGTTTTTCCGTGATTTTTAAGCCCCCCGAGGGCCCTAGGGTTGTTTTCTGACAAGGACCAATGCGAGTGTGGCCGAATTCGGCCAAAAACGGCCGAAAAAGTCAACCCGAGGCGACTCGCCGGCGCCAGCGGCGGCGCCGTCGCCGGAGCACGGCGGAGCCGCCGTGCCGGAGTTGCGATTTGGGCCGAAAGAGGCCCTGGGCCTAATTTGGATTTTTTTGGAACCCGTGCAGGTACTGTGAGCGTGTTTCAGTTCCCTGGGAAAAATTCAGGGGAAAATTAGGGACAGCCTGCAGGCGCACTGTGAATCGTATTCGGATCCCGAAAACAAGTAAGGACCCCTCACCCTATTTCCTATCACGGTATTAAAGTTCAAAATGATAAAACAGTATTTCTTGAATTAACGCATGTGTGAAATTGCTTAAGGTTGCTAATGGAGCCCGAGTCTAGTGTGATTGATGATTTACTGTTATTTGGCCTGTTTACAGCTTTAAATGCAAAATGAGGTTTGATGTGTTCATTTTACAGATTTGTGTGCATGCACTACGTTTTTATTAATTATGGGTTGAATGACTGAAAAACTGATACTGTATGTTGTCTGTTTGGTATGAATTACGATTTGCTTGTTTAAATGTGAATTGATGATGCTGATTGAGGAAAAGGAAAAATGAAAGATTGTGTAAACTGATAATTGTATTATGGGGGTCAGCCTGACTAGATATCCTGGGAGATGGTGGACGGACCGGGTCCGTAGGGAACCCTACCGGGATTGTGGTCTCACATGCCGGACGGGGTATGGAGATCTTATGGTTTTGGCGCCCATACCGGACGGGGTATGGGGACGGCCCGTTTCACCCTCATACCGGACGGGGTATTGAGGTTTATGGTTTTGGCGCCCATACCGGACGGGGTATGGGGACGGCCCGTTTCACCCTCATACCGGACGGGGTATTGAGGTTCATGGTTTTGGCGCCCATACCGGACGGGGTATGGGGACGGCCCTGGAAACTGATTATGAATGTTAAAGGTTAACGGGTAGCGGAACCCCTATGGACCCCCACGGATACTAGTAGGCTGGTAAATGAGAAAAAAAGATATGTCGTACAATGATTGAATTACAAGAGGCGTGATAAGTGTTATGTTTTACAGCTTAGATTATTCAATGATTATGATAATGTTATTGTTTTTCTCATATTGTTTTCATAAATTCCACCAAGGTAAGTGGATGGTAAAAGATTTATTATTGATAAAAGGTTTTGTTGTTAATAAACGAGTTTATTGTAAATTATGCTCCATTGGTCTTTTTGTGGTTTTCTACCCACCTTTATCTCCGTGACGGTGAGATATCGTGATGTTCTTACTGGGCTAGTGTAGCTCACTCCTTAATTAACCATTTCAGATCAGGAAGACATGGTTCCCGAGCCCGTTCCGCAGGAGGACGACGAAGGGGATGCCTAGAGACTCTGTAGTCATACGCATAGTTTATTTTCGAGTTTTCTTTCTTAGTTAGTTTAACCTTTTATATTTTAAGTACGTTTGTTTGGTTTTTCATGTAAGGGATGTTAACTTTAAATTTTGATCTCGCTTCCGCAGTCGATATATTTAAATACTCATTTCATTTTAATATTTTCCGGGGCCGTTACAAAAATAATCATATTTATTTGTTATAGAGTAAAACACATTAGAATAAAGCACGAATAATGGAGCTCAAGCTTGATCAAATATTTAGCTGTGGAGGAAGCTCTAGTTTTAGTCTCTTTCAAACCCTCTCACTTGGAAGATTCATGTAATGGATCATAGAGAGTGATTCAATGGATCACAGGTTGATAAATTAATGGCTCCATAGTTTTTGTGTTTTTATTAAGAATGAAATTGAAGTGCATTAAGATTATCGATTGTTAGAATTGAATTTGGGGTAAGATGCAAGAAAAAATTAATTTTGAGGCCAAACGAGAAATGGAGGAAATTGTAGGATTAAAAGAAAGAGATGAAAAGTTAAAATGATGGAATGACCTTTTTAATTAAAGAACATGTAGCTGGTTTTCTTTCTTTGTTGATACACCTCTACATATATATATATATATATATATATATATATATATAGCCTTCATCACTGCCTATGTAACGATTTCAGAAATTTAAATGAAATATATGTATTAAAAATTTCAATTGCGGAAACGTAATAAAAATTTTGATTAACATCTCTTACACAATAACCAAAACGTACTCAAAACATGAAGGAACAAACTAACTAAAAAAGATACTCGAAATAAAAACTATAAATATAACTATAAAGTCTTTAGGCATCCCCCTCGCCGTCTTCCTGTGAAACGGGCTCGGGAACAACGTCTTCCTGATCTTGTTATATAAGGGATGAGCTACACTAGCTCAGTAAAGACATCACACTATCTCACCGCCACGGAAGTAAAGGTGGGTAGAAAACAAAAATGACCAATGGAGCATAATTTATAACGAACTCGTTTATTAACATAAAAACTTTTACTGTCCACTTACCTCGGTGAGATACATGAAAACAACATATGAAAACAATAACCTTATAATATCATAAAATCATACACACTTTATAACATAACACATATCATACCTTTACATTTCAATCATCAGAAGATAGATTTCCTTTTTTACTAGTCTACTACTATCCCTGGGGATCCATAGGGGGTCCTCGCTACACGTGAACCATTGACATTTACAACCTAATTCCAGAGTCGTCCCCATACCCCGTCCGGTATGGGCGCCAAAATCATGAACCTCAATACCCTGTCCGGTATGAGGGTGAAACGGACCATCCCTATACCCCGTCCGGTATGGGCGTCAAAACACATGAGGTCTCCATACCCCGTCTAGTATGAGAGACCACGTTCCCGGTAAGGTTCCCTACGGACCCGGTCGGTCATCCATCTCCTAGGATATCTAGTCAGACTGTCCACATTTTTCACTTATCAATTCACATAACCTTTTTGCCTTTTTCCTTAATCTCAATCATCCAATCATACACAACATGTAAATCAGTAATTAACACCAAATAAGACAATACAGTACCGGGTTCACCATAATACAAGCCATAATAAAAGAAACCATAGTTCATGTATATGAGACCATAACATAATTACATCAAATATCATGCTGCATTTAATACTGGAAAGTAGACTAAACAATAACAGACCAACATGTATCAAACTCGGGCTCTATTGGCAACCTTAATCAATTATATATCTATAAAGTCACAAAGTACAATTTAATTATTTATTTAGCTTTAATATCGTGATAGGAAACAGGGTGAGGGGTCCTTACTTGTTTCGGGGTCTGAATTCGACTCTACAGTGCGCCTACAGGCTGCCCCTAATTTTCCTGGATTTTTTTCGAAAAACTGAAACGCACTACCGGTACCTGCACGTGTCCCAAAAAATCTCAAATCAAACCTAGGGCTCCTTTCGGCCAATATCGAAATTCTAGCACGGCAGCTCCGCCGTGCTCCGGTTACGGCGCCACCGCTTACGGCGGCGATTCGCCTCGGGTTGGCTGTTTTCGACCGAATTCGACCATAGTTGCATCGGTCCCTGCGATAAAACAACCCTAGGGCCATCGGTGGGCCAACAAATCACGAAAAATCGAAACTTACCGGCGGCGGTGCTCTTAGGTGCAGTGGCTCATCCGGTGTGAGTCGCGTTTTGATGTTTGGCTCCGATCAATCTGTAGAGAGGGGGTATAAAATTATCACAGTGGTATAAAATTTGCATCGAACGGAGGCCGGGAAGGACCTCATCGGAGGCAAAAACAGAGGGGGGACGCGGCGGTGCCGCTGGACTTCGGGTGGGTTTTCTGGCCGTTTGGCCGGTGGTTTGTCTCCGATTTGGCTATAGGCGGACTCAGCATCGAAAAACAAGCCAGGGGGAGAAAATTTATCTCGATCGGCGATCGAAAACTTCCCCGGTGCGACGGCGGG